AAAGTATCGCCTTATTAATTGATTAGACTCAATATTATTTTTAGTGCAATTTTTTATTGGCTAAGTATGTTTATTGTAGCGTAACTATTTTTGATCATCAATTACTCAAAATTAATTTAATAGTCCCATAACCCATTTTTAATAGATTAGCTCCCATATTATATATACATAACGCAATTCGCATTTTGTTTAAAAAATTTCTTTATTTTAATATTTTTATTTTTATTTTAATTGACAAAATTGATTTATATATACTGTCGAATCAAAAATTCTTTAAAATCAGAATTAGAATTAAACATATATTCAGACATTTGTAATATTAGTAAAAAGTTTTATTTGCAATATGATTAAAATTTAAGATTTTTTTTTTAGAATTTATCGATTGGTTGTCAATCACTTTATTAGATTTCCAATTTTATTTTTTATTATTAACGTTAAAGAAAGTTATTTTTTATAGTAAAATTCCAGTATAATACGCTTTGACGATTATCGTTTTGATTTGCAAAATCATATTGTACTGGTATTATAATAAATATTATAGAACTGATAAAGTACGATATGATCATAATTTTGGAAGATCATACCATACCATTCTATACTGATACTATAATAGTTGTAGTTATATATAGAATCAGTATGGTACAGTACGGTACAATCATCTAAATTATGATCATACTATACTGGTTTTATTAATATTATAATACTGATACAGTACAATCATAATTTTGGAGGATCATACCGATTAGCATGATCGTATTGTACTGATCAGCTGAACTGTATTGTACCAGTTTTCCTTATACTCAAGAAAATGGTACTCATTAAGATACAAGTACAAAAATCTTAAAAGATTGCAGGCTAGTGAGAATTTACAACAACTAATCAAAAACTCAACTCTTCATAATTGATTATTTCATGTAGAGTTGGAAAATGGATTTTGGCTGCGTATTAGTAATTTATTTATTTAATAAAAAGTAATAAGAAATATATTTTTTACTTTTTAAAACTTCAATTTTTTAATTTTATTTATTATTTTTAGATGTAAACTAAAGATGATACAGCAATTGATTTCAAATTTACAAAATGTTGCAACATAAGCTAAAATTAGTTGCAACATATATAGGTTAAAACTAATTGCAACATTAGTTGCAACATTAAAAGTTGCAACATATTAATTACAGTTCCCATCTTTAATGTAAACTGTTATTATTATAAATGACAAAATGTAGATTGCTAATAATACCATATTGAACTCAAGATTATAAATTTCATTTTCATTGGGATTATAAATCCTATTCTCGTGATTATTTTTAGGATCAAAGATCCCATTTTCATTGCCGTTTCTAGATAATAGATCTTTTTTTCAGAAGTATTACAGAAGGAGATCATATTTTTATGAAGAAGTTTTTTACCAAGAAAGTATTAATTTTTTTTAATTTTTTAATTTCAATTGTTAATTTAATTTTAATTTAATTTTTTTTTTTATTTTTTATTTTTATTTTATTTTTTTTTATTTTAAGATTATAAATTTACTATTTTAAATATTATACTTTCAATTTTACAATGAATTGTATAAATGTATGAATTTTTGTTGAATTAAATATTAATAACAATAATGTATTTAAATTTACTAAATTGATTATTAATTAATTGGAGTTCTCAGTCCTTATAAAGACCCTAATTCTGATTGATAAATAAATACAAAAGACTTGAATGGCAATAAATTTAAAATGAAAAAACTTACTCTATAATTCATCAGAAAAAGATTGAAATGATTCAGTAATTTATATTTACTAAGAATTTTGGAAGTTTATTTTTTGATATACAGTACTTGATTATATATAATTTCTACTTTTCCAAAGAAAATATTGTTGATTTTAATGAAATTTAAGAAATATAGCAGAAGGTAAAGAAACAATTAGGATATGAATCTGATTTATATATTAAGCAAATGATTCCATTTTTGAATATAAACAAAAAAAACCTTTATAATTTAACCATCCATGAAGAATAAATTTTTAAACATGAAAAGAATTACTTACTAAATACAATTATTAATGCAACGCTTAACAAAAGAAAAGCTGTGAATTTATACGCTTCACGTGATGAGCGGACGCGACAACGGTAGTAACGATCAATAGAAAAATTATATAGCACTGATGAATATTGGAAGGTTAGGATTATGAATTACAACGTAATATAATTTTAGGTAACAAGAAAAAAAATTATTATCTCCTTTTTCTTTAGTAGTATTTATTTCATTTTGATGTGTTTCGATTTTCAATTTTATCGGGTACCATTCATAAATAATCTTTAAATGTCAATCACAGAATTGTCCTATACCAATTTACCGAATAATTTGAAAATACTGAGGAGGTTAATGAACTAAAGATTTATCAACGATCGTGTCACCAAGCTGTTTGAGTTATACAGCTATGGTATCTACATTATGTAATATTAGACTGACTGGCGTGTCAAATAAGATTCAAAGTTAATCATAGAGTTCAGTGTAATGGTAATTTGGTTCGAAAATTGCAAAATAAGATAGTTTGCAACAATGGCAGGCCTTACATAAAATACATAGTTTGTGTTACTACTGATAAAACGCGTCAAAAAATTAGATGTTATTGTTCTTCACATGTCTTACTGCAATTACTGTAATAAACATTGAAATATTTGTGCAACAAGATGGTGGGACGTTTTAAGTTAAGTGTATTATTCGTAAAAATCTTGATGAATATCTATACTTTGATCTCTACAATTCAACACAAACTGAAAGCGAATCTATCGAAATTCGAATTTCTTTAGATTAGAATACTCATTATGATCATGCTAATTAATATTCGAGAAAACAAATCTAGAATGCAAAATTAGAAGATCTTTAAATAATATGTTGCTTCTAAAACTACATAAAAGTTGAAAAAAGCATGAAGAAACTATTTTTGTTATGCAATATCCAAAAGCATAATCCCTTCTCAGAAGAGGACCACATAGGGTACGAAATCATTAATCTTATAAATCAATTTTTCTATAATCTATTCACTTTACAACATTGCTAATGAAATTATATTTCGCTAAGTATCTCAAGTAAACAACTTACAGTAACATCATCGGATTAGAGGAAAAAATGTTACATGTAGCCAATAAATTTGTTATTAAGAAGGCAAAAAGAAGCATGGTTTACAAAGAAAAATCCGCTCTTGTAAAAAAAAAAAAAAAAAAAACCTTTTACTTACACTGCCATAGCTGTTTATAAACAAAATAAAAGATGGTTCAGTTCGTTTGATTTTAACGAATTATATTATTCTAAGATTATTTGAAGTTTCAACGGAAACTGTTAAGATTACATTGATGACGAAAAGGTAATTTTTTATTTAAATTTTAAATTTTTCGGACTCTATTGTTTCTTTTCTAACCACTTCTAAAAACAAATATATGATATAATGAATCAAGGCGCAATGAGACCAACTTGACATATAAAATACGAAATTTCATGTGTATTTAACGTTGGATAAGTCTAATGGGAAGTTAATATGAAAATGTCTTAATAGCTTGACGGCTATATTGTGAAAATTTATAAGTAAAAATAAAAAAACACATAGATAATAAATACTTTGAAACTTTGAAACATATTAAAAATCTCTATAATGGAATGGCTTCCCAAACTGCTTCTAAATATTCTTTAAATGCGATTTCGTGAATTTGTTATTATTAACCAAATTAAAATTAGATTAAAATATGTTAATATCATGAAAATAATACTTTATTGTGTGTCAGTAAACATGACGTACGTTAGTTTGAAAGTACGCGTTTTGGATATTTTTTAAAAAATATACTGTAACTGATAATGGAATTTGGCGCAAATTCCTTGAATAACTCGACTCATAGTTTCTTTTTTGAGGATAATTACACATCATATTTTAATGGTTCGATGATTTATATGCAAATCAATCTAATCTATAATAGGGTAATTTTAATTTACACTTGCATTCTTCTAAATGGTAGGATATTTCGTATTACTCTGCCATAAAATCATAAATGTTTTAATGAACACATTTTGCATTGCATTAAAATTAAAGTTGATATTCTTTCCTTTTATAGATTAAATATTTAATATTGGATGTCTTCATAATCTCAAGAGGAGTTTAAATTTTTTTTTGCTTAATCTAAATTACTTTTCAATCCGATTTTAGCAGTTCCACAATATTATTAAAATTAATTTTAATGTTTAAAAGTAAGTTAATTTCTTCATAATGAAATCTATGTTCTTGTCATTCTTGAACTAATTCAGGAGTTAATCAATTAATATTTTTTCGGTTTCTATCTTTCGGATCGATAATTTTTTCTTTATTACAGATAATTTTTTATTGATTTAAACATGATTTTGGATCAATCTTTCAAGTTAATATTATTAGACATTTTTTTTAAGGATAAAAAGTATAATAAAATTAAGAAACAAAAGATAATGTTCAAATCAAAATATATACACAATGATAACTGTCTAACGCTAAATCTGCTGAATAAAATTTAAAGATAGAAAGTTTGTTGAAATCTTTGAATATTTCCGACGCTCATATATTTTCATTATTAATAAGAGACATTTTTACTTCAAGAATAAAAGAAACCTAATTCTTAAGAAAATTACATTCAAATTTTCAATGTATTCAATGTTTAATGAATAAAATTATGGCCACACTTTTGTCGTCGTCGATACTTAGAATAGAAGAATCCAATTTAACAGAGTTGTAAATTATGTAAAAGTTTAACAGAAAGATTTAGGAAATAGTACAGCGTTGAGTTATTAAAGATTTGGGAAGGATTATCATTAAGGAATCGGGTACATTTGGTAAGCTAGTTATTGAAGTATTGTCACAGTTAAGATAAGTTAATGAGTTGGGTAAAGTTGGTAGCTTAGTTATTGGAGTATTAGAGCAATCAAGCTTCGTTAAGGAGTTGAGTAAAGTTGGTAGGATTGTTATTTGAGTATTAGAGCAATCAAGCCAAATTAAGGAGTTGGGTAAAGTTGATAGCATAGTTATTTGAGTATTAGAGCAATTAAGATTAGCTAAGGAGTTGGGTAAAGTTGGTAAGCTATTTATTTCAGTGTTAGAACAATTAAGTTTAATTAAGGAGTTGGGTAAAGTTGGTAAGTTATTTATTTTAGTGTTAGAACAATTAAGTACTGTTAATGTTTTTGGTAATGTTGGTAGGATAGTTATTGAAGTATAAGAGCAATAGAATTCAATTAAGGGGTTGGGTAAAGTTGGTAAACTATCTATTTTAGTGTTAGAACACCAAAGTATTTTTAATGTTTTTGGTAATGTTGGTAGGATAGTTATTGAAGTATAAGAGCAATTGAGTTCGATTAAGGAGTTGGGTAAAGTTGGTAAGCTATCTATTTTAGTGTTATAACACCTAAGTATTGTTAATGTTTTTGGTAATGTTGGTAAGCTATTTATTTCATTGTTAGAACAATTAAGTACTGTTAATGTTTTTGGTAATGTTGGTAGGATAGTTATTGAAGTATCAGAGCAATTGAGTTCGATTAAGGAGTTGGGTAAAGTTGGTAAGCTATCTATTTCAGTGTTATAACACACAATTAATGTTAATGTTTTTGGTAATGTTGGTAAACTATCTATTTTAGTTTTATGACACCAAAGTATTGTTAATGTATTTGGTAAAGTTGGTAAGCTTTTTATTTTAGTGTTATAACACCCAAGTATCGTTAATGTTTTTGGTAATGTTGGTAGGATAGTTATTGAAGTATCAGAGCAATAGAGTTCGATTAAGGAGTTGGGTAAAGTTGGTAAGCTCTTAATTTTAATTCCAGAACAATCAAGTTTTGTTAATTTTCGATATCTTTGTAATCCGCCTAAGGCGTTTAATATGTCATTCTTATTAAGATTTGTAATCGTTAAACTTGTAATAGTATCGTCATAAATAATGTCTGATATTACAACATTTGGTTCTAATTTATCTACATCTGATATTTCAACATTTGATTCTAATCCTTGTATATCTGATGTTTCAACAAGGGATTCTAATTCTTTTAAATTCATTTGACCAGACAAATGATGAATATTTTCGGAATTTATTGATACATGATTTTTCTTTTGATAATTTAATTGATCAAATCGAATGATTTGAGATTCATTTCCCAATGAATTATTTATATCAGAAGAAGCATTAATGACATTCAACCGACGTTGTTGAACATTTGGTTCATAATCATTTGATTGATTATTTTCTGTTGTGTTTGTTATCGTAATAATTGCATTTAATTTATCAACTACTTGATTCATTGATGGACGATTATTTGGCTCATTATCCCAGCACACTGAAATTAGATAAAAATTTAATTATCATTTATATTCTTATAAATAAATTCATAATCAATATTTACCATTGTAAATTTTCACATATTCTTCAGGTGTACCCGGAATAATCTTTTCTCTAAGCCCTCCTAAAATTTCGACAGCTAAACTTATGTCGTATCCTTCATCCTTAATATAAAATGGAGGGCGGCCGCTTGATATCTCCCACAATAGCACACCCACACTGTAAACGTCGCTCTTTTCGTTTAGTTTAAATCGTGGTGATGAGTTGTCAATTCTTCGTTTGTTAAAAAATTTTGGGTCAACATAAGGAATTACTCCAAAAGTTTTTGACTGATTAGTTGCTGCATCAATTCTTTTTGACAATCCAAAATCTGCTAGTTTAATAACGCCTTGACGAATTAATATATTTCCGGAATGCTATTATAAATATTATACAAAAATTTATTATCAATTATCAGAACACACAAAAAAATATATTATGTAGCATACCAAATCACGATGCACAATTCCTTCTTCATGCAAGCACGACACCGCACAAGCCAACTGGTATGCAAAGTTGTATTTATCTTCCCAAGTAAGATTATCAAAATTCTCCTTCAAATAGTTTCCAAGTGAACCGCCATCAGCAAATTCCATTACTAACAAATATTTTTTCAATTGATCATTTTGATTTTCTAATTTTTATTTATTTTTTTTTTTTAATAAAAAATGAGTTAAATCAAAATAAAATTCGATATATAGACTTATTTATGAATATTACCTTGATATGAAGTTATCCCACAAAAGCGGATAATGTTATCATGAAAATCAACGTCTCGTTGAAGTTCAATCTAAATTATTATAAATAAAATGTTATCATGACACATACTAAACAAACGAAATACATATTATATTACTTTTGTATATAAATTACCTCACGAACAATTTCTTTCACACTGGTATCGTTAACGTTAAGAAACAATTTTAACGCAAGCTGTTGCTTTGAACTTTTCCAATTTGCACGATAGACTTTTCCGAAGCTGCCAGTACCAATTTCTTGGAATTTGCTAAAATGTTTGTATTCGTAATATTTGATATTTTTACTTGAAATAGATCTTTCAATCCAATTAACCCAATCGTTCATATTGTTGATATCTTGCATTTTGATTATTAAAATTATTATAGCAGTGAAATTAATTAAAATTCTTGGAGAAAAGTAAAGAAAAAAAAAAATGCACACCAGCAAATGTAACGTTAATCAAATTTTTAAGCCCACCGTGTGTAACGATTAATCGGTTAATTGACCGACAGATTTTATGATCGCAGCAGCATTTTATGACTGATAATTTTATTTTTATTTTTGCGATTTTAACACTCCACTCACTTGTAAAAACTTCTTATTTTCTTATTTATATATATTATATTTCATCGCGAAATTTAATTTTTATAAAAATTTTAACTTATACTGTATATATAATGAAATTATTGTAAATCTTAGTATTTTAATACTTTTAGTAATCAAAACATTGTTTACCGGTCGGTCAGAAACCTTTGACCGGCCGATATCGGTAACGGTCATGACCGATCATGACCAATTATAACCGGGACCATCCCTAGTAACGACAAATGGATTTCGCTGCACATGAACGTTTCGTTTCACAGTATACGATACGAAAATAAAAAATTGACTTTGTTTAAATTAATAATTCTGAATAAAGAATCAAAGTAGCTTAATTAACATTATTATACTAAAAAATAACTCCAGAAATTAGAAAAATAGCAACTAAAGCTTTCACGCAAATCTAAATTTAATTTAGCAATGTTAACAGATCAATATAAAATTTATCAAATTTGTAGGTTGGCTTTGATGTTCTTCAAAATCTTTCACCATACTCTATAACTTAATTATACATCGGCATAATAATTGGTTTTGAGATCTACAGAAAGAGTTGAAGTCGGAGTCAACGGCTGAGTGACTCTCCGAAATTTTCAAATGACTAAGCCGTGAGTCGCTGCTCAAAAATCTCAAAGTTTCTTATCTTTAACCGTATTGGATTCTAACAACGTTATTTTTGGCTAAAACTTATAATTAATTTTTGAAACATATATATTAAATTTAAAAATTTTTTGTTAAATATTGAGGTGTAAATAATAAAATTATGGTTGCTAATTTCGAATGAGAGTAGCGACTCAGTCGACAGCTGAGTCTATTGAAAAGGGTTTAATGACTGATTGAGCCAGATTTTGCCAAAGTTAAATTTCAAAAGTAATAATTGACAATATTTGATATGAGATCTTTCGATTATAGTATGCGTAATAATTAATACTACGAAAAATACTTTCGGAAAATATTGAACTCAAAATCATTTGAGTTGAGTATTATTATTTCGTTATTCTTTTTGTTTTTATTTCAAGGTAATTAATAAATTCATTATTTGTTAATATTGCCATTTGTTAGTTCTTTAACATTCAATAATTTGTTACTTTTAATTCGAATAACTTTAATTCGAAGTTTGAATAGATTTGTATAAAATTTAGCATGCGTTGCTTTCTTTTATATACTGAACTGACTAGTGGCATATGTACCAATATTTTTCATGATAATTGTTTTATTTATTTAATATTTTTTTTATATTATTAACTAGTGATAAAACTCGATTTAATAAATTATTTTTTTTTATTATTATTATTTTTATTTTTTTTAATGTAATAGCACCTTAGTTGAAACTTTGAATTCCTGTAAGTAATTTTGAAATTAATTAAAGCATCACGATATAAAACGTGAACGCAATCAGAATGAGTTTATTGATCGACAAATGACCCACTCTGAAATAGTTAAGTAAAAACTTTGCTTTTCGACCGATAGTAAAAATAGGGATATTAGAATCTTCAAAATAAGAATATTTATAGATATCCGCAGTAATTTTATTTTATACTTTGGAAGCATAAATCATCGAGAAGGATTGTAAGTTTCGGACGAGACTTACCCAAATTAAGTATGAATTAATATATTTTTTCGTGCATTTACAAAAAAAAAAAAACGACTTTAGGCTTACAATATAATATTTTCTTGTTCTGCTTTCTAAAAGAACAAGATAAATTTCGGCGGGCTTTTACTAAGAATAGCTTGGATTTATTTTACGACACTGCATAAATATCTTGTATTAATACAACTGGCGACACTTTTTTCTATCACGATATTGATGATAGGTGCAAATGAAACTGGATCATGTGTTAGTATAGATTGTTTAAACAAACGAAAATTGATCTGTGGGCAATGGTATAAAAACATCATTTTGCTTATAAGCAATCCAATTCTCGTCACAAAGTTCTTTTTGAGCTGATCACGCATTAACCGCTACTTAAAGTTCTCCTCATTTTCGTATATGTTGCTCATGTGATTTATCTTGTACTTCTATAGCAAATCCATATTTTCGATATTAGATGTCAATTGGTCGGAAGATTATTGGATGCTGGAAGTATATTAGTTATAACATTACGACGTAATTTTCATGTTTATTTAAGCAACATGGACACCTATTACAATTAGCAAACCATTTATGACCTTTATCACACATCCATTGCATCTGAACACGAAAATTTATGTATTTCGTAGAAAGACAAAATATTGTGAGAAATTTTTTTTAGCGTTAAACAGCCCAAAAGGAGTATTGCCAGAACATTGTGAACACAACCGATCCTTATTCCTTACACTAAAAGAAGTACAGTTCATGATATTTAGAGCATCTCCAAATCATCAACATTTTTATTGATATATTTGTTTAGAGAGCCATCGCCTCCCTTATTAAATGCGACTTCCTTACCAATATCTGATGTTAGAGTTTCCATTAATAATTTATACCATTTTTTCAAAAAGCTGGTAATTTTCATGTCTCTCCGACAACTTTCATTTTAATTAGCCGGCCGGCCTTAATCATGGGAATGATAAAATCAAGTCATATGATATAGTAAATCATACGATCCGTAATGTGATTTAAAACCACATAACTTTAAAAAATTTTAAGCATGTCTTTATTAGTTCTTTTTTAATAAAAATTTTATAAGCGGTAATGCGAATACTACGCCAAGAATGAATTTCACATTATGCATGCATTAAAAATACAAAGTTTTATATTTTTTACCTACTGTTTATTTATTGTATGGCAAGTTGTTACTTGAAATTTTTTAATTCGCTAGATCAATCCAAAAAATATATTGATGCATTAAATTTATTTACTCCGCTAATACAGAAGACACATTTTCTAGGGTTGCCGATTTTAAGGGTGGATAGATTCACCTATTTTATTACATAAACTTGGACATTCGAGTAGTTAAGATTTTCCATTATGATCTATAAGGAAATTTTTATTTTTAATTTATTTTATTTTTTTTTTTTAATAACGATTTGTTTCCAATAAATTTAACTCTATTGATGCTCATTTACAATATTTTTATATTTTTTAGTTTATCCGAAAAAATTATCTAAATAAAAATAACCAGTATGTGATCGTCGTTATGACATAAAAAGATAACCATACATGATACATGCTTAGGATAATCTCTTTTTGATTTTACTTAAAAAAGACAGAATCACAGATATCATGCGACTGGCGTATGTACTTAACGAGTATTTTGGCGGATTTGTCCTAAACTTAAATTGATTAACGTTTTACGACAATGATTCACTAATTTTGTTTTTCCCAAAGACAAAAATTAAATCTATCAAAAATGCAAGATACTAATAATTCGAAAGAGTGGAATGATTTGATTAAAAGAACTTTATCAAAATATCTTATTGAAAATTATAAATACCAACATTTTAAAAATGTTAAAGAAATTGGTATTGGCAGTTTTGGAAAGGTCTATCGTGCAAATTATAAAAGTTCAAACAAATTTGTCGTGATAAAATCGTTTCATAACTTTAACATTGCCACTGTTAAAGAACTTGTTCGTGAGGTAATTACAAAATTTAATGGTATAATTGGTCTGTTTTACAAAATCATTTTTCTATCAAACTAAAATTTATATTTGTAACAATTTAGATTGAACTTCAATTTAAATTTGATTTTCGCAAAAATCGTAAAAATGTTATTCACATTCTTGGGTTAACTTCAAATCATGGTATAAAATTAAAGTTGTTTATTTGAGAAGTTTATTGACTTTTTATATTATTTTTATCTCATATACTGTAAATATACATATATATTTTTTTTATTTTTTTTTTTTTAAAAAACAAAAAATAAAGAAAACCAAAATGATCAATTAAAAGAATATTCTATAGTTATGGATTACGCTGATGGCGGTACACTCCGAACATATCTGAAGGCGAACTTTGATAAGCTTACGTGGGGAGATAAATACACCTTTGCATCCCAATTGGCTAGGGCCGTATCGTGTTTGCATGAAGAAGGAATTGTGCACGGTGATTTGGTAATACTAAATATAGATGTTCATTTTGTTTATTAAAGATATTACCTTTAAAATTAACATATACATATTTATATATAAAATAGCATTCTGTCAGTATATTAATTCGTAAAGGTGTTATTAAATTAGCGGACTTTGGATTATCAAAAAGGATTGAAGCAGCAACTAACCCAGAGTCAAAGCTTTATGATGTAATGCCTTATATTGATCCAAAAGGATTTTGTGGGAAGAATAAAGATGACGATGCATCGCAACAATTCATATTAAACGAACGGAGTGACGTTTACAGTGTTGGCGTGCTCTTATGGGAATTATCCAGTGGTTATCCACCTTTTTATGTTAGAGGTAAACCATACGGCATTAATTTAGCTGAAGAAATTTCACAAGGTCATCGAGAAAAGGTCATTTTTAGTACACCCGAAGAATATGTACAAATTTATACTGGTAATTATAGTTTTAATTTTAAGTTATAAGATAATATGAAAGTAAGCTTTTTTTGATCATTAAAATTTATACTTTTTTAGAATGCTGGGATAATGAGCCAGATAATCGTCCAGATATGAATCAAGTAGTAGATAAATTAGATGTTATTATTGAAAAAAGAAAGGAAGAAAAAGATCGATTAGCACAAATGCGACTTGCCTCTTCTAAAAAAAATACACCATTATATGGAGAATTATCTCGACTTATTCAAGATTTCGATCAGATGTTAAAAGAATTAGAAGCAAATAATAAAATATCAAATATTATTTACAAGGATACCGTTTATACTTTAAACATTACTGATTATAATATGGATACGATACTAAATACCTCGGGAGGATTACGAAGATATCGAAATTTAGCAAATCTCTTCTGCCTTCATACTGAAATAACAAGCTTACCAACTTTACCAGACTTCTTAATAACGCTCAGGTGTACTGATACTCCAATAACTAGTTTACCAACTTTACCAAACTCCTTAAAAAAACTTCTCTGCTATAGTACTAAAATAACTAGCTTACCAACTTTACCTAAATCCTTAACGGTTCTCTATTGTTATAAAAATCATATAACTAGCTTGCCAATTTTACCAAACTCCTTAACAGATCTTCATTGCTATAGAACTCCTATAACTAAATTACCTAATTTACCTAACTCCTTAAGATTTCTCCGCTGCCATTATACTAAAATAACTAAATTACCAACTTTACCTAACTCTTTAGAAGTTCTTTATTGTTATAGAATTCCAATAATTGTACTACCAACTTTACCAAATTCCTTAGTAGAACTCTATTGCGATAATACTAGAATAACTTTCTTACCAATTTTACCCGACTCCTTATCAGTTCTCCATTGCTATGGTACTTTAATAACTAGTTTACCACATTTACCTATTTCCTTAACAGATCTTCGTTGCTATTGTACTCGAATAACTAGCTTACCAGAATTACCTAACTCCTTAAAGATTCTCGACTGCTCCTTTACTAAGTTAAATAGTTTACCAACTTTACCTTACTCCTTAACAACTCTTGACTGTGAATTTACTCAAGTATCTAGTTTACCAAATTTACCTTCTTCTCTAAATATTATTAAACCTAAATCTTTAAAAACAAATTACATAAATAACTAGTCTATTAACCTTTATTAACAACAACATTTTTATATGTTATTTACTTTTTATCAATCTTAAATAAAATTATAATAAGTATTTATTTTCAATATTTTATTCTAACAAAAAAAAATATATAAATGCTAACATTAATGATATATATATAATTCTAAAAATAATATATGATTATTTTTCTAAATATTAATGTATAGTATAGGTTTTTTTTTGGAATAAATTAAAATAAAATAATTATATTTATTTATTTAAAAAAATTCTTAAAAAAAGATATTTTTACTAAAATATCTATTTAAAAATGATTAGTAATTTTTTATTCTTCTTTTATTATACAATGCAATTTTTTTTTATGATATTAATACATTAAAAATTGCTATAATAAAAATTCACTTTCTTTAAATTATTATTTTAAATTTTATGAAAAATTTAGAATAATGAATAATAAAATTAATAATTTTATAAAATTGTCAAGTTGAAATCCATTTTTGAAATTTCAAAAATAAAGATTTTGGTTTCTTGCATATTTTAATATTTATTTTTAATAATTATAGCAATTGAATATTATCATTAAAAATTTTATTATTGATTTCAAATTTACTTTAGAATTAACAATTTTAGAACTAGTTAATATTACTTGACATCTTTTAAATTATAAAATATCAATATAATAAATTAAAATTAAATGCTATAAAAATATAAAAGAATGATTTTTAATTAATTATCTCTTAAATAGTAATAATGATTTTCAATCAATTATTATGCAAAATTCTACATAAAAACTTACAAAATTTTAATTATTAATTAAAATACATTATAAAATTTATTATAAATTTATTATTTTTAAATAAAATTTCATTTTTAATAATTAAAATATTAAATATATACAAATTTCAACTTTATGATTTTTTTATAAATACATAATATTTAAATATATAAATAAATAGATAAATATAAATTTTTTTTAAAATAATAAAAATTAAAAATTGTAGCTTTTATATAGAAAATACTTTATCAAAAATATTTAAAACTTTGACTTTTAAATTTATGCAAAAATTACAAATAATTATAAAAATATTTTCTGACTTAAAATATATTATAATATTTATTATAAAATATTATTTGTTTAATAATTAATTTTTAATATATTTAAAATAAACTTAACTTTAATTAGTAAGTAAAATTCTTTTAAATTTGAATATATTTCAGCCTAAAAATATATTTGGTATATAAAAGTAAAATTGATTTTTTCTGATAGTTTTCCCCTTTCTATTATAAAGACCTATCAAATATATTGATATGTTAATAGCAGTTATTTGATATTTATGGGTTATAAACGGAGTTTAAAGGTAAGCAAAAGGTATTGTGTTTTATTATTTTACTAGTTTAATATTTAATATAATAATCTGAATTTTAACTTTAATTCAACATAGATATTATATTGCGTACAATGTCAGCGTTCTATACGATCAGGTATGATAATTAATTATATCTTTCAGAGTTTATTATAATAAAAATGTAAAAAGGGAATAATAGATAATGATGTATTCGTGTTTTAGGGATTTTATCAGACTTTTTCAAGAATTGGATGAACTGTTTATTATTGCGGGTATTTAATTCCTTTTTATTGTGTTAAAAAACTGTATATCTTTTATTAAAGAAAATTTCGCCATTTAAATACATTAATTTCTAACAGGACAATTATAGCCAATGAACATTAATGGCCGGTGAACAATAATGGCTAGTGAATATTAATGGCTAGTGAATAATAATGACCAGTGATCTTCATTGACCTAACTTAAATTTTGTTAGCTTAATTTCTTATAATAATAATAATAATAATAAAATATTAAGCAATACTAATGAAATAAAACATATATAGAAGTAAAACGCTAATAATAAATGCTAATAAAAATTATTAATATAACAATATCATATTCTACACCTTCTATATCTTAAATTATTATCTAATAATTAAATTTATTTTAAAAATATAAATATTTTAAATAAAATACAATATAATTCAATAATATAATCTAATATAAACTATAATAAAAATAATATTAATAAAAATTATAAAAATTGATATTATAATGAAATTTAAAAATTTTAATTATATATTTAAAAACTATTAAAAAGTATTTATTATAAATTTTATGTTAAATAAAGAAAATAAAGGAAAAAAAAAGTTTATAATAAATAAAATCTAAAATTAAATATATAACTTTTATATATTATAAATTTAATAAAAATATAAATTATTAATATTACAAATTTTTTGCTATTTTATAAGCTTTAAAATCTGAATTATAAAAATTTTTATTTTAATAATTAAATTACATTTAATTTATTTAGAAATAATTTTGAAATTTTCAATTTATTCTTTTATATTATTTTTTTATCAAGTTTTTAATTTTTTTAAGCTTTTTATTCAACTTTTAGATTATATTTAATGGTTTTAAAAAAATTTCAAAAAAAAATTTATTAAAATATATAGAAAAATAATATTATAATTAAAATTTTATGAAATTTAAAATTAATATAAAATATGTTTTAATTATAAATTGAAAAGATATTAATAATAATATTACTATTAATATATAAAATGTAATATTATAAGATTTTAAGTTAAAGGATATATAGTAATTATATAATATAATAAAATTATACTATTTTTTATTTTTTATATTAACTAATATTTAATATATAAATATTTATAAAATATATTATTTTAAAACTTATTAGCTAATAATATATTTAAAGAAATTAAAGTTATCTTTTAATAAAATAAAATCAAGTTATATTATTAATTATAAATAAAAAAAATTTAATTATATAAATTTTTGAAAACTAGAAAGTTAAGAATGAAAATTAATATATAATATATTAAATATATATTTGATATTTAAAATAAAGTTTATAATGTTTTAAAGTAATTTTTTCAAAAAAAATACATTAATTAGTAATTTTTTGTATATATTTTGGGTCAAAAAATTTCTTTATTTTTAATAAAAAGCATTTCTTTGTAAAAGCTAAAATTTATTATTTTAATTCATTTCATATTACTAAAAACAACTCGTAAAATATATAAATTCACATTTATTACCGACTTTATATATTTTATTTATTAAATAAATTAAAGTTAAAGTTTTGTATATATTTAATGTTATAAATTATTAAAAATGAAAGAATTTTTAAATATATTATAAATTACTTTTAATTATTGTCATTTTATTTTAATTACAATCATTCTAAATTTCTATAATAAAATTAAAAAAATAATTTCATTAATATATTATACAAAAAAATAAATAAATAAATAGAAAAAAATCATTTAAAAAAATATTCTACTCTTATTAAACTTATTTTCGAAAATTATAGTAAGGATAATTCAAATTATTTCGTTTGCTTTTTTAAAAATTTCTTTAAGATATGATGGCATATAATTTTTATTATTTAGAGTAACTTCACGGGTACAGTAAGCAATGCATGATTGGCTATTTTGCCAAAATCAACCAATCAAATGCATTGCTTACTGTGCCCGTGAAGTTACTCTAAATAATACACTGCAGCAAACTGCTATAGACATTCCAATTTAGTCAAAGTTTGCAAATTTTGGCGTTAAACTTTTAAATTGAGGAATTGAATGATCAGCGTGCATATTTTCCTTGTTTTCATAAGCTTCCGAGTAAAATGGGGAAGTCAAATTTTCTATGGTAGAATTCTATGGAGATTGACAGAAGTACAAACAATTCCAATTTTCCACAACAGATTTCATTAATATAAATAAAAGTACAGATAGAATTCTATAAGTTGGAATTGATACATTTGAAAACGGATCCACCTCATCCATTTGATATAATAAAATCAATAATATCTAAATTCGAAAGAAATGGCACATAAACTTCCCTCCGTTTGTTTAAATGAAATCTTTGAACATTTAGATGATGATATAACTACTTTGCATTCAACCTTATTGACCAATCATCATTTTTGTGGAATTGTAGTCAGTATCTTATGGAGAGATATTTGGAGATTTTATAATCGTTATGGAATGAACTACATACGAAATTCATTATCGATCCTAAGTACCTTGATCTCTTGCCTCCCTACAGTATCGAGATGCCTTTTACAGATAAATGGAGTTAATCTTACAGCGCCCACTTCGAAATCGCCATCCTTTAATTATATCTCATTTATTAAAGTCCTTTCCTTATTTAGAATTGATCAACTGATTGAAGATGTCGTGATAAATCAACGAATTAATACAACACAAAGCTTGGATTATAACAAACATTTAATAGCTCAGGAATTACTAAAATCTTTTATGAAAGATATCCCATCTTTAAAGTCTTTGGATCTTTGTTGCGATTTTTCGACAAGGATAGTTCAAAATGTACCCTTTTCAAATTTTCCAGGGGCAACAAGTTGTTTAGCAGATTTATCAAATTTGAAATGTAGTTCAAATTCATTATTACCTCAAACCTTTCAGAATATCCAATCACTAACTATAAAATTCGTAGAAAAGGTTTCTAATAGGTTGATCCAATTACTTAATTCGCAGCATCAATTAAAAAATTTAGAATTAAATGCGTACCTGATTCATGTGGATTGGTTAAATGTCATACCAGCTTTAACGAGGCATTATGGCACATTAACCAAATTATGTATTCATAGTAATAGCGATGTACCATTATCATTTGTTTCTTATTTCATAAATTTACAAGAACTAATCATTTCCATTCGAATTCCATTTGAAGGGTTCAATGGATTGAAATTTGCTAGATTTACAAAGTTACGAATTTTCAAAATTCCTCATGAAGTCCCAAAACTTGAGATGTTAATAAAATTTTTGGAAAATAATGGAATAAACCTTGATGAATTCAGTACTAGCGTAGTTTACCCTGACAAATCATTAAATCAATCATTAGTTCGATTCTGTCCGAACCTTAAGAAACTTTCCATAAATTTTGGAAATGATGAATTAGAAACATTGAAAACTATATTTGTACATTGTCAATATTTGGAAAGCATTAAGATTTGGTGCCAAGATGATTATAATCGGTTAAACGGAAGAAATTTGTTGGAAGTTGTAGTAAATCACGCACCAAAAAACTTTTACGAGTTAAAAATATATATGAACTTAATATTACTTCCAACTGATTTGGAAAAATTCTTTATAAGTTGGAAGGACCGATCTCCACAAAAGACATTGTCTTTGGTTATTATTATTGATGAGTTTAGTTTAGAAATTAAAGAAGAAATCATAAATGTGATTGAAAGATATAAAGTGTTGGGTATTATTAGGAAATTTGAAATTAAAAGAATCGATAATGAGGTAGAATAGCATTTATATTCTAGATTACGTTTATTCTTGTATAATATTCTTTTTTTATTTTACGTTCATATACTTTTTTTTTAAAAAAAAAATTTGTTAATTAATAAATAATAAAAAACCTTTCTTGAAAAATCAATTTCACAATCTTTTCTATTACAAATTTGGTTTGCAAGATAAATATCTTGTTACAGATTAAATTCAAAGATCATTTCTTCATAACCTTTATAACTTCAACAGCAATTACCATAAATAAAACACATGCTAGCGATTGGACGCGTTAACTCTTGATTCGAATAACTCGAATTTATCTCGAATTTATAATTACCTTTTAACTCGCGAGTCTATCAACAACTATTATAGTTAATCAATAATATATTTTATAAAGATTTAATAAACTCTCAATTTAAAAAATGTACTTTTTTGTGATCATGACTTTATATCTCATTCTCTATTAATAGCCAGTTTATTTATGGAATCCATTAATAAATAAAAACACTAAATATTCAATTCAATAAGTTTCGAAATCCTCACAAACAAATTTCCAAAGAATACGACCTTCTGAGTATAGTGTTTTGTCTATCATCTCCCTCCTGGGATTCTCATTCTTTATCACTATTGTTTCAGAAATATGATAATTGGTTCACTGCAACATCTTAGATTATATTGAGCAATGTATAGTTTCGTATTATGATGTTCTGATGAACTTCAATCGTTAACATAGGATATTTAAAATCATAATTATGGATATAATATTTTCTTGATTTTAAAAATATTAGTTAATAAAATGATTAATTTTATAAAAACTTTATTTTTATGTCTCGGATATTTAACTGATCACAAGATACGAGTACTCTTCCGAGTTTAATTCACGAGTCACGATTACGAGAATAAACTTAAAAACTACATTGGCGGTAAACAGAAATTAATTAAAATTGAAACGAAGTGCTAGAAGTACTTCAATAAATACATCAATTAGACTTTTCGTGAAATAATTTAAGATAAATTAATCTATTCCAAGATTATAAATGTTAACGTTGGGTATATTTTTTTTATTCTCTCCATATTCAGAAATTTTAGTTTCCTAGATAGTTCTTTAATGTATTTAGCTCTTTTATAGCAACATTAGTCATTAACATCGTCCAAGACGTTATTAGATTAATTAATTAACTATCTATTACTGCAAAAAGTATTTAAAGACAGCTTATTGTATTTGATTAATAAGTTTATTCTATACAGCACAAACGAATTATTCTTGCCATTTATTAGGTTTATCTCTGCTTCCTGTTTATAAGTATTTCACTTTAATTAGGTTATATTGTATGACAATAACAATACCTTTGGTGGTACCAAGGTAACGGAGAAAGCTAAAACTGATAGATCCAATAAAAAAAACAAACTCAACTTCTCAATTTTATTCCGCAGAAGAAAACAAATATATTAACGCATTTTGTTAATTAACATGTGATAAAGCAAAATAAAATCAATGTTAATAAATTTCACAAAATCGCTTTGAAACAAGATATAAAAGCTGGTTGGAAACCTTTATATATTTCAAAGTTTTAATAGTGATGCAATTTTTTCTTTATTTATAAATTTAATGATTTTCATTTATTAATAATAGCCTTAAAACATTAAGAAATACAGAATCCGAAAAGCTTATGATGGTTGAAAATAAGGAAGTCAAATATTGAGAATGTAAGATTGTATTATTTCATCAATACACGCGAGTCATTTATTATTTGTGATATAAAAGGTTGTTTTGCTGAATAAAAGGTTTTAAAAAAAAAATAATGAAAACAAACCCAATTCCAAAACTTTCATTATATCTATAATTTCATCACTTTGTAAGAAGTAAGTAAAAAAATATATACACATCTAAATTTGTTTATTTGAATGAGAATTTGTATTTACGCATCATGCATGCATAAAATGCTCCTATGCGTATTTTTTTTTTTGTGTTTTAAATTTTATATATCTTCTATGCATCCCGCATTTTGTGCAGGTGTTTAGAAAATAAAAACCCTTAATTAATTGTTGAATTTATAAAATTATAGCTTAAAAAAGTAAAAGTTTATAGGGAATAAGCTAATTTGTAGACTTAGTGAATAATTAAACGTTACTATAACTTTTGTATTCTTAGTTTATCTATTTAAGCAACAAAGCTTTTCTTGCTAATATCTCTATAATTTTTTTTTTTTTTTGTAAAATTATTGAACGATTTAAGCAGTTCCACAATATTATTATAATTAATTATGTGTTAATGTTTGATAAAACTTTTTATAAATTTAAACATGAATTTAGATCGAAACTTTCAAGTTAATTCTCTGATAATTTTTTAAAAAGATAAGATATATAAAATAAGAAGACAAATATTGTAAGGAAATTTGCATCTGGAAAAAAATTATCTATATCTGCAATTACGTATTTGAGATGATTGATTAAATGTTATGTTAGAAATAGAAGTGTAAGAAATTCTTAGGCATATATACTGTAAAATGACTGAAAAAAATGATTTAAAAGACAAAAAAAGAAAGTGTTTCTAATATAAAATATTTAAAACTAAATTAAATATAATTTTCACTTAAATAAAGGAAAGAATTTAGGAGTTATTGATTCGTTGAATGTTTAAAGATTGAGGTTTGATATTTGTTAAGGAATCAGGTACATTTGGTAAACCATTTATTTGAGTTCTAGAACAATCGAGTTCCGTTAAAGAGTTGGGTAAAGTTGGTAAGCTATTTATTTCAGTGTTAAAACAATTAAGTATTGTTAATGTTTTTGGTAATGTTGGTAGGATAGTTATTGAAGTATCAGAGCAATCGAGTTCAATTAAAGAGATGGGTAAAGTTGGTAAGCTATCTATTTTAGTGTTATAACAATTAAGTATTGTTAATGTTTTTGGTAATGTTGGTAGGATAGTTATTGAAGTATAAGAGCAATCGAGTTTAATTAAGGAGTTGGGTAAAGTTGGTAAACTATCTATTTTAGTGTGAGAACACCAAAGTATTGTTAATGTTTTTGGTAATGTTGGTAGGATAGTTATTGAAGTATCAAAGCAATAGAGTTCGATTAAGGAGTTGGGTAAAGTTGGTAAGCTATCTATTTTAGTGTTATAACACCCAAGTATTGTTAATGTTTTTGGTAATGTTGGTAGGATAGTTATTGAAGTATCAGAGCAATCGAGTTCGATTAAGGAGTTGGGTAAAGTTGGTAAGCTATCTATTTTAGTGTTATAACACCTAAGTATTGTTAATGTTT